AATTTTAAAAAGGTAAATGATAAATGATCAATTATCAATTATCAATTTGAGTGTTGATATTTTTAAAAAGTACATGTTTATATGTATAATTCTATATTTTACCTTTTGGCCAAATTTTTGTTATTATAACGTTAATTTGAAAATAAAAGCTTTATAACTATGACTGCAAATAGTTTCTGAAATTCAAGATAAAAACATGCACACACTATTTTCTCTGATTGGTTGGTCCAAAATCAATACATGTATATAAAATTTGGTTTACAAGACAAAAAACGTGTGAATATTTCAAAAGTATTACGTCAATTCACTATAAAAAGAATCAACATATACAACTACATCACCCTATCGTAATTCCCCTCGCTTGAGGATTTTGTTTGCTTCACTATTTTTGTCAAACTGTTTACTCATTTTCCAAATCCTCAAATTGAGCCTCTTAATTCCTTCTGCAGTTTTTTAGTTTTGGCTTGTTTTTGGTATTTATCCCGTTACTGCTAGTTCCAGTTTTTGACTGGACTAGTGGGAACAGCATAATATTAAATCTATCAAACTCGAAAACAACAAACTAATAATCGAATATAACAATAATCAGATGTTTCTTGCATAAATGTTCTTTCCGTCGGACTTCCACGATAACATTAATGACCTTATATGGAGGTGTGGAAGCTTATGTAATATGTCACATTTTAAAAAATGCAAAGTTAATATCTAAATTAACATAAATTATCCAGACTACAATAAACTAATACAAAGAATATCATAAAATATTATATGCGTTCTCGCTGGATAATGACCATTTTGATAGGCTTTTTTGTACCATTCAACGTTATAAGATCTATTGAAACTCCAATTCCGAATTGATAGCATTCAACGACCCAAATTTAGATCTTAATATCATATAAAAGCTTTTTTCTTACTTTTTTGCGTTCCAATACTTCTAGTAATAGAAACTAAGATTGCATTGTTCCTTTAGCATTTCTCTTCTCTGCCGATTTCAAATAGCACTCGGATGCTTTTTTTCATCATTTTGCGTCCCAATATGATTTGCTGACAAAGCTTAAAATTGTATTGCCTTCAGCATCCCCCTCTGCTGTAGGTATTTGAATGGTTCAGTTTAAACCATATGAATAGCGGTTGGTTAGTGAAACTATATATAATGGTTTAGCATTTTTAAAACTAATTTTCATTCAAAATCAGTCGAACCAAGATTTTATTTAAAATGTGACTTTTGAATGAATAACTCACAGAATTCAGGATCATGAATATAATTACTTGGTCCGTCAGTTTCAGTATCTCCAGAAAGTCAACACTATTACTTTATATTCCTCTTTTTGCAAAAAATTCTTTAATAGCGTGTGGTGTTTTATAGCATTTAGAATCATATTCAATCAAAAATAGGTGATTTACCATAAAAGAAAATGCGATATATCTAAAAGTGTTTTATGAAGTAGTAGTTCTAATGACTTATCGAAATATTCGAAATGTTTGAAATTCAATGTCAAACATAAAATATGTTAGAAAGATTGTATGCAGTATATTATTTAGACAATATGCTATCTAATAGCTAAATAATCAAATAATCAAACGTTTATATTGTTTGTTGTATTGTCAAATTGCATTTTTGCATCTTTTGGGACGTGCAAAACCAAAAATATGATATTTCTAAAGGTATTGTTACCGCCGGCGAACAAAATTTCTTCGATTCCAGCTTTCAGGATGAAACGGCGAAAGACGAGCCGTGGATGTCGCTAACGCCGGACAAATGTATCTCCAATGTTGCTGATTTCCAGATCCGGGGATACGCTAAAGTCGGGTACATCCGATAATCAGTCCGAAACACAAACCAATAAGGATGCGTAAATTGTTGATCAGCCCGGCAAACAAATCCGAAACACGAACAAAATATATTAGCTTGATCTCAACTCTAGCCTTGACCCTGACCCTAAGCTTAAAATTAATATAGTCGCATATCACGTGATGTACCTGGCTTTAGCCCCAGATCTGGTAGATTTTTCAGCATCATTGCAGCAAGTTCCTGTCACGACTATCAACAATGCTACAGACTTCCCAAACCGGTAGATTTTCAGCAAAAGCAGTAAATTCCCATCACGACTATCAACAATGCTGCAGATTTCCTAAACTGATAAATTTTTCAGCGTCGCTACAACAAATTTCCATCACGATCTTCAACAACGCTGCTGTAGATTTTTCAGCAAAATAGCACCATAACATTGTAAATTCCCCCTGACGTGCAGATAAAAACAGGCTTCCCTTTTTGGTATACAGCACGAAAATACGATCTCCTCCACGCCTGCTTTTGTCGAAATACAACATTTGTCATCAATTTTTAGCATCCTCTTCAGCGTTTGTCATCGCTTTTCACCATCTTTCAGCATCCCCTCATCATTTTTAGCGTCTTCTCATCATTCTTTAGCATAATTCCATCAGTTTTCAGTTCGTCTTACATCAGTTTCTTTCATAAATATTAAAGTGTTCAATATAAATGTTTTTATTAATAATTAAAGTAGTATTAAAAGTGACTAATGACATGAAACACAAAAAAATATATAAAAGAGTGGCCTTTGGACTACTAATAAAGAACAGAATTCATATTGCAAACAATTATTCTTCGAGTAAGCTACTTGTAAGAAGAGAATTCACATTGCGTACAATTGTTCTCAAGCAAGATAAAACTTGCATTATTGCATACAATTATTCTTTCCCTAAGTAAATTATCATTTGTAAACTTTCTCTCTCCTCTTTCCCATATTAATTACTATATTGATTGTAAGTTAGATCCTTTGTACCAGAAAGGCATTATTTTATGTAGAATTATATTGTTAATGAAAAACTATTTTTGTGTAATTATCATTATTATTTTTAAAAGTTTAAGAGTTTTCTAGAAAAAGCAATGATTGTTAGTAATATTTTTAAGAGTTAAGACTTTTATCTATAAAAAACAATAGTAAAAGAATTTTCTGAACACTCATCTAAACATATAGTCTCTCTTTTCCCCCAAAATCAACATAATAAATGATATCCATAGCTATTAACACAGGCTCTAGCTATCAAAATAAATATCACTCAGTCTAATAATCTCTTCCAAAGTTTTATTGTATTATAAACCTCTCAATTTATCCCAACTTAACTAAAAATATAACAGTATATATATTATATATCATTTCAGAATTCCAAAATGACGTATGTTATTTCAGAATTCCAAAATGATGTATGTCAATTCAGAATTCCAAAATGATGTGACTGCTATACATCATTTCAGAATTCACGTCAATTCTGAAATGATGTATGTCATTTTGAAATTCTGAAACGATGTACGTCATTTTGGAATTTTAAAATGATGTATGTCAATTCAGAATTAATGTGAATTCTGAAACAATATATAAAACTGATACATGGTATAGAAAATTGATCATCTAATATTTTACATAAATTAATAAATTTTGGAGTATTGACGATATAATGATAAGATTCACCGTTGTTGATCTTGTTCAGTTAATACATATCGATATGTATAATGATAACAATAATTGATATTACCAACAAAGAAATAAAATACCAGGTCATTATTAACTTATATCACTAATCTTAATATAAACTAAATTACGTATCCTTACCAAGTTAGGAGAATAATACAAAAATTTTTGTAACCTTTTATATAAAAGCATCATTTTTACGTTATTTTTTTCATGTCATTTTTTTATATCATTTTTTTATTATGAGTGATGAAAATAATAGTGATAGTAATAATGAAAATTCTAATATGCAAAACTATGATAATGTAAATCATATTAAAACTCTTAAAAATAATAAGAACCAACAAGATCTTTTTAATTATACTAATTCAAATTATGAAGCATCATTTATATCTCAAAATACTTTTAATCAAGTTGTTACAACTTTTATGGAAAAAATGCTGTCACGATCAGGCTCCTGGTAGATATAATCGTGATATAGATGTTCAACTAACGTCTGATGATGATATTTTTACAGTTACTCAATCTTATTGTAATTAGTGTACTTCAGGATCGTTATGCAGTGCATTTTCTTCTATCTTATAGATAGGCTCTCACTATTACTAATAGATGTTATGTTTACTTAGTGTGGGACAGTTCTATAGCAATACAGTACTGATATTCTATAGCAACTTTGGCAGTTATCCAATAGTGTGCAATAAATGCAAGTATTTTAATAAGTTATTAATTTTAATCAATTAAGTGTACAAATTTCATTAACAATAAACAAGGAACAGTTTATTGACTAGCTAGATTTTTGTAATGATCAATTGATGTCTTTTTCAAAATCTCAATATTGCTTTATTTATAATAAATATTTTCCATTAATGAATATTACATTTATGATTAATTATATAAGTTGATAAATAATAGATACTATATAAATGATGATAATTATTGTAAATAATGATAATTGTTGTAAATGTTTTAATTATTACAATTATAAAAATTATGAAAATTATGAAAATTATAAAAATTATGGAAATTATGAAAATTATGGAAATTATATAAATTTCCAGTCGTAACAATATAAGAATGAAAAGAGCATTATATGACTAGAAAAATGTATTGAAATTCTCAAAAATCCAAATATCAAAGCTGATAATGCAAAATTGAAGTTTTGGACAAAAGAAAAATTTGTTTTAATTAAAGTTAATGAATTATATGTGTTGAATTTAAAATCTGAAGACAGACAAGTTATTCTATTTGAAGATTGGTATGGTATATTTTGTCAAGTATATCAGAATTGTGAACATGGAGAACAAAATACAATCTAAAAATGGGTAAATTTTAATTTATATTTCAACAACTGTATATAAAATTAAATAATATAATAGCTTGATAACTAATATATTAAAATTAAATTATTATTAGTTTCGTTAATAATATTGTTATATATCACAACTTATATTGAATGCAGCAGTAAATAAATGCAATTATTGTGCTATTACATGACCTATACAAAAACAAATGGCTTGCAAACCAATAATTATAGATGAATTTATGAATAGACTTCAGGTAAAATTATAATTATTAAATATTTTGAGTTTATTAATATAATAACTATTTATTAATTTATAGATTGATACTATTTCAATAGAATCAAATATGGATAATGAATTTAAATATATTATTCATATAAGTAATCACTATTCAAGATTTTCTTGGGCTGTAGTAGCAAAAAAAAAGATGCAATTACTGTCCGTGAATTTTTAATTCAGATATTCAGTGAATATGGTCCTCCAAAAATTCTTCATACTGATATTGGTGAAGAATTTATTGCTGATATTATTAACCAGCTTTTAAATGAATGTCCTACAATGAAAATTATTCATGGTTGTCCTCATCATTCTCAATCACAAGGATCAATTAAATGTGGAAATCAAGAACTTAAAAAAAAAATTTGGGCATGGATAAATAATACAGGATGCAAGATTAGAGTAATGGACTACATCATATAATTTGTAAGTAATTAAATTATTTTTAACTTGATAAATATTGAATTAATTTACATTAGTAATTCAAGATATTAACAGAATTGCAGCAAACTTCAAATTTGGTGACGAAAGGTAAAGAAAAATATCCAGTTTAAAAAATACAAATAACTTTGTATCCAGTGAACCAAATTAAATGATTTTGATACCATTAGAATGATCTTGATAAGGCGCATCTAATGGTATCAAAAACATTTAATTTGGCTTACTATATACAGAGATATCACGTCACAAAAACAATGTACAAAATCATTCAAAATTTTAAAAGATTTTGTACGTTGTTTTTGTGACGTGATATCTTCGATCTAGAAAACCAAATTAAATGATTTTGATATCATTAGATACGTCTTATCAAGATCTTTCTAATGGTATCAAAATCATTTAATTTGGTTTTCTAGATGCGAAGATATCACGTCACAAAAACAACATACAAAATCTTTTAAAATTTTGAACGATTTTGTACATTGTTTTTGTAATGTGATATCTCTGTATATAGTAAACTAAATTAAATGATTTTGATACCATTAGATGCGTCATATCAAGATCTTTCTAATGGTATCAAAATCATTTAATTTGGTTCACTGGATATGGAAATATTTGCATTTTTAAACTAGATATTTTTCTTTACCTTTCATTACCAAATTTGAAGTTTACTGTAATTTTGCTAGTATCTCGAATTTTTGATTTATTTAATTATTGAATTTATTATAATTATTAAAAATATTAATACTTATTTAATTAATATTTATAATTTATTA